CAATGGAAATGGTGACAGACTTTATTTTAGGGGGCTCCAAAATCACTTCAGATGGTGACTGCAGCAATGAAATTAAAAGACACTTACTCCTTGGAAAAAAAGCTATGACCAACTTAGACATCATATTAAAAAGTAGAGACATTACTTTGCCAACAAAGGTCTGTCTAGTCAAAGCTATGATTTTTCCAGTAGTCATATGTGGATGTGAGAGTTGGACTATAAAGAAAGCTGAGTGCTGAAGAATTGATGCTTTTAAACTGTGGTGTTGGAGAAGACTCTTGAGAGTCCCTTGGACAGCAAGGGGATCCAACCAGTCCATCCTAAAGGAAATCAGTCCTGAATGTTCATTGAAAGGACTGATGCTGAAGCTGAAACTCCAATACTTTGGGCCATTTGATGTGAAGAACTGACTCATTTGCAAAGACCGTAATGCTGGGAATGATTGAAGGCAAGAGGAGAAGAGGACGACAGAGGATGAGATGGTTGAAAGGCATCATTGATTCGATGGACATGGGTTTGAGTAGGCTCTGGGAGTTGGTGACGGACAGGGATGCCTGGCCTGCTGCGGTTCATGTGGTCACAAAGAGTCGGACATGACTGAGTGACTGAACTGAACTGACATGGATGGTTCAAAAGGAAAGCACAGCCAGTAGAACTCATCATTAAAGTTTAATCTGAACCATGAGGATAAACCATTCTGTCACATAACTCAGTGAAGAGAAGCAGAACAAAGGGGGAGTAAGAGTAAGAAGAGTTTTATGGCCCCAGAGAAACCTTCATCACAAGGAATGGAACTACTCAGTATGAATCTGCATTAGGCTAGGAATAAAAGCAGATTTTTGTTCTTTTTTATCTTAATGCTCCTGCTTTATTCTCTTTCATCCCTCATTCAACTGTTAAATCTCAAATATTGAATGATATTGAGGGTTTATTACTAACTTTTTAAGTGATAAAGGTATCATGATTATGTGTTTAAGTAGGATCCTTTAAAGATATATATTAAACAGTTTGCAAATAAAATTATATAATGTGAGAAATTTGCTTAAAATAAAAGAGAGGACAGAGGAAGAGAAGATTTGGAATAAAATAAAACCAGCTATGAATTGATCACTGATGAAGCTGGGTGATGGGTACATAGGGGTTCATTATAGTATTTATATATCTTGATATGTATTTGAAGTTTTTCATAATAAGAAGGACTTTTTAATCTCATTTTTTGACAATGGTCCTAGTTAGATCTGCTTCTTCTGCCTTCATACTCTTGTCTTCAAAGACTTTCTATCAGTGACTCAAAGATGAGACCTACAGTTTTCTAGCAGTGGGGATGGGTTGCTTTGAACAATTCACACCTTGTGACAAAGGGCATAGGTTTGAAGACCTCTGAGTAGACTTAGAAGTTCACAGTAACATAGTACATGTCTTTTCTGTGGATATGTGGGCTTGTGATGCTGATGGAATGTAAAATTGTATAACCACTTTGGAAAGCATTTGGCAGTTTCTTGAAGAGTTGGGCATTTGTCACAAATTACAGAATTCCCTTTTTTATGACTGAATAATGTTCCATTGTAGTGTGTGTGTGTGTCTGTGAGTGTGTGTGTGTATCACATTTTCTTTATCCATTCTTCTGTCGATAGACACTTAGATTGTTTCCATGTCTTGGCCATTGCAAATAACGCTTCAGTGAACATGGGAGTGGCGATATCTCTTCAAGATAGTGATTTAATTTCCTTTGGATATATACCCTGAAGTGGGTTATATAGTAGTTTTATTTTTAATTTTCTGAGGAACCTGTATACTATTTTTCAAAGTAACTGTACCAATTTACATTCCCACCAAGAGTATCATGATAGTGATGTTTATCTTTTCATGGACCTATTGGCCATTTGAATATCTTCTTTGGAAAAATGTCTGTTCAGGACCTTTGCCCATTTTTTAACTGATTTTTTTTTTTTTTTTTGCTATTGAGTTATTTTCTTAAATATTTGGGATATTAACTCCTTATCAGATACATGGTTTGCAAATATCTTCTGCTATCCGCTGATTGACTTTTTATCTTGTTGATTGTTTCTTTTGCTCTGCAGAAGCTTTTTAGTTTTATGTAAATCCCACTTGTTTATTTTTGCTTTTGTTGCTGGTGCTTTGGATGTCATATTCATAAGATCATGTTTAAGACTGCTGTCAAGGAGCTTTTTCTCCCTGTTTCTATGTTTTCTTTAGGAGTTTTTTGGTTTGAGGTTTCACATTTAAACCTTTAATTCCTACCAAGTTAATTTTTGTGAGTGGTATAAGATCAGGGTCCAGTTTCATTCTTTTGCATGCATGTGGCCAATTTTTCCAATACCTTCTTATCTCCCTTTCAAATATTAGTTGTCTATAAGTGCATGGGTTTATTTGGGGGCTCACAGTTCTGTTCCATTGGCCTATATGTCTGTTTTTATGCCAGTACATTACTGTTTTGATTACTATATCTTTACAATATAATTTGAAATCAGGAAATGAGATACGTTCACCTTACATCTTTGTCAAGATTACTTTTACTGTTTGAAGTCTTTCATGCTTTCATATAAGTTTTAGGATTATTTTTTTTCTATTTCTGTTAAAAAAAAATTGCCATTGAAACCTTGATGGGGATTGTATTGAATCTATAGATAGCATGAATAGTACAGACATTTTAACAATGATTAACTCTTCCAGTCTGTGAACACGAGATATCTTTCCATTTACTTGTCTTCTTCAGTTTCTTTCATTAATGCCTCAATCCTATTTGATATGGTGTATGATCATTTTAAAATGCTGTTGAATTTGGTTGATTATTGGGAAACTTTGCATTCATCAGGGATATTGGCCTATATTTCCTTTTCTTATAATGTCCTTGTCTGGCTTTGGTACCAGAATTATGCTGACCTGGTAAACTGAGTTTAGGATTATTATCCCCTCCTCCTCAAAGTCCTTTTCTAAACATAGTTCTCAAATCAGTCTTATTTCTTTGCAGCCTTTCCCCTCCATGCCCTTACTCTCAACCTAATGGCAAGAAAGTTGATGTTATCTAGAACAGTAATCTTAGTTCAGTAAGAAGGTGTAATATTTAATCTAAACATTGCCTCTAGGCTGATTCATTTTATTCAGTTAGAAAGAATTATTGGGCCTTGTTTGCTTAAGATCTCAATCTTATCTCTTTTTTCCTCTTTAGTGTCTAAAAGTAAAGGCTTTTCCAGTTCTTTGATGACCCAAATTTCACTCTGTTCCTCTTGCAGTTATTCGCCTACTTCAAATCTTTCCTTTGTCAAAGTCAGCCCCCACACACTAATATTCTAATTCTTTCCAACCACTTCCCTTAGAGCTCTAGGCTCAGTAGGCACATGGTCTGCCTTCCTATTTTACCATCTTCTTTCTGTGAGCATGATTGCTGTATTGTCAGCCTGTTACATCCATTTCCTTCTCGCCTCCCCACCTGCAAATGCTAAGCCCGTGTCACACATTTTATACTTCTGTTAAAGCAGAACCTCACTTCAGTAATGGAGTCATTAAGAGCTTGGGTTCTGGAACTGGTCCAAAACCTGTCTCTCTTGGATAGTAGCCAAATAACTTTAGGCAAAATACTTTTCCATTCTTAATATCAAGTTTATTATCTATTATTAAAAGAAGAAAATAATATTAAATAATACACATAGAGTCCTTAGCACTGTTATTGGCACTTAATACTTAATGCGTTTTAGTTACTGTTTTGTCCTATCAAAATCCCAAGGATGGCGGCTGCTGGGCTTTCTTTTCTGTCCTGTGGACTGCTGCCTAGAGACTGTGAGCTTCAGGGGGGAACCCCCCCTCCACCGCCCTCCAAGAAAAGAGAGAAGCTTTGTCGAGAAAGGGACTCCAGATGGTAGAACTAAAGCAGTACGTTTTGAATGAAATGTTAATTTAATTCTTTTTTTGATTTCTAGATTTTCCTGTTTTTAGGCAGCATGTGTTTTCTCCTAGCAGTTGGTCATTACATTTGGGAAAACAACCAAGGTTACTACTTCCAGGATTACCTGCCGTGGGAAGACTATGTCTCTTCATCAGCTTTCTCTGCCGCCCTCATATTCTGGTCCTACTTCATTATCCTCAACACCATGGTGCCTATTTCCCTCTACGTCAGGTAGGCTGCTTTGACAGCTGAGGGAGGAGCTGACTTCTTCTGGGGGAGGGTACTTCCTTCTTATTCCCCAACTAGACTGTGGACTTTCAGAAAACAGAGGTGCTGTGCTCTTTAACCCTTTCCTTCCCAGAGTGCCTGGTGTACAAAACACTCTGAGAAATATTTAGTTTGCATAAATGCTTTCTATGTCCAGAATACTGTGCTAGATACTATGTGGGTTATATAATAAAAAAAAGTTTTCCTACCCTCCAATAAGTTATAATGTACATGACTAAATAAGACATACAAACACATGAAATAATTAGAAAACAATGCACACAAATTTTGTGTTAAAGTACAAGCTAGGCAGTCCCTAGTTTATCAGTGACCAGATTCTAAACAGTCATTTGTAAATGACTCAGAACTCAGAATGCTTTTTCCCCAGAAACAATGTGGCAAACTGCAGGTAGGTGTGATTGTGACTTAAATTCTGGTTCCTAAAAGATGGAGATGAAGGATGTTTCCTTCCCCTTTTCATGAGCACCTTGGACAAAAAATTTGAAATATAGGTAAAATAAGTCTTTACTGTATTCCAATCTCCTTTTTCGAGTTCCAGCATTCCCTTTCACATAAACACACCCAAACACATTTTCTGCATCCTTTTCGGGTTTTCTAAACCCTTGCATTGTGGGATCCCAATCCTAAAAGCACCCTATATGTGTGTGTGCTAAGTTAGCTAAATTATCTTACTAATTTAATGAATATTTATTGAACAGCTACTATGTTACCAACAAAGGTACCAACAAAGGTCCGTCTAGTGAAAGCTATGGTTTCTCCAGTAGTCATGTATGGATGTGAGGGTTGGACTATAAGGAAAGCTGAGCACCGAAGAATTGATGCTTTTGAACTGTGGTGTTGGAGAAGACTTTTGAGAGTCCCTTGGACTGCAAGGTGATCCAACCAATCAATCCTAAAGGAAATCAGTCCTGAATATTCATTGGAAGGACTGACTGATGGTGAAGCTGAAACTGCAATACTTTGGCCACCTGATGCAAAGAACTGACCCACTGGAAATGACCCTGATGCTGGGAAAGATTGGGAAGAGAAGGGGGCGACAGAGGATGAGATGGTTGGATGGCATCACCAACATGATGGACATGAGTTTGAGTAGGCTCCGGGAGTTGGTGATAGATGGAGAAGCCTGGCGTGCTGCAGTCCATGGGGTCATAAAGAGTCTGAATGACTGAGCAACTGAACTCACTATGTGCCAAGCACTATATTAGGTTACAGAGAAAGATACATGAATAATAAGACAACCCTTCCTCTAGATAAGCTTACAGTATAGCCAAGGAAACAGATACTTAAGTAAATAATTAAGGTACAATATGAAGAATGATGTAATAGAAATTAATATGTGAATGCTATGGGAGCNTTCCCAACCCAGGAATCAAACCCGCATCTCCTGCATTGGCTGAGCCACGAGGGAAGCCATAGAGAGTCTATAATGCATGTTATTTAGAATAAAAGTGGAATGTGACTAACACAACTGGGAAAATTCAGGTAAAATGGAGAGAAAGCTATTTTAGGAAAAAGCTACCCTACAGGCAGGTGGGTCTGCCGAGAAATTTATCAGAGGATCAGCTCCTGTAAGCTGTTTCTGAGTCTCACAGATCTTCCCCTTCCTCTTCTGAAACAAAGAAGCACTGTCTCTAGTCTCAAAGATCCCTCTTCCCCATCAATGAGTTTACGTGACAGCAGCAATACCCCTCTAACTAATCTTTGGCTGCCTTTTATAAACTACCTTAACTCTGTCAGGCCTTGCATTGCTACAGAATTTTAAAAATTTTGGAAGAAGTAGTATAAAGGGACTATGCCTCAGCAAAGTTAATCAGTATATCTGGTAATCAAGTAAAGCCTTGAGTGATCATGGTCAAAGTAGAATTACAATGGGTTGGCTGGTATGAAGGATCCTTCAAGACTGTAGGTTCTGAGAGAAGGTATTCTGATTTTTGTTTCCACCACAGAACTGGAAAGAAGGAAACCAGGGGGATGAATTTGCTTGCCCTGCCTTGACCCAGGACCATTCTTTTCTTGCTTTCTCCTTAGTGTTGAGATAATAAGATTGGGCAACAGTTTCTATATCAACTGGGATCAGAAGATGTTTTATGAGCCGAAGAACACACCAGCACGGGCGCGTACCACCACCCTTAATGAGGAGCTTGGCCAGGTCAAATACGTGTTCTCTGACAAAACGGGGACCCTGACTCAGAACATCATGATTTTCAACAAGTGTTCAATTAACGGGACATTCTATGGTATGCATGTCTTTCTGCTTTCCCTTAGTCTTGGGGAAATTTTACTTTGCAGGTTCTTCTCAAGAATAATCTATCTCTAAATCTAAATCTATATGTCTCTAAATTCACATTTACTTACTCTTACAACCTGCTGTGCACGAAGCAAAGATCACCTAGTCCATTCAGTTCTAATAAAAAAACACTTATTTAGCACATTATAGATGCCATCCATTCCATTGTGTGGGACATTGGAAACATGAAGGTGTATAAGACTTAATCTCTGTCTTCAGAGAATTGCCAGTGTCTTGGGAATGTTACTTACTCTTGCATTAAATCAGATGGTGCAACCAGGATGTTACTGAAGCTGCTTCTCTCCTGATTCTGCCTCAGACACCGGTAAACAGTCTAGAAAGAAGCCATCAAAGGGTGTTCAGAATTTGATCAGTGTCTCTGATACCCAGTTGTTCATTTGTTTCCTGTGTTAGATGAGCTTATTTTTGTGATAGTGTTAAGTCTTCATATGTGTGAACATTATGGCAGTAACTAGCAAAGGAAAGCAATCACATCGAAAAAGCTAGAGCACATGGAATATTCTTCTAGGATGATGAAAAAGCTTTGAAGCTAGAAAGATGTGATGGTTGCAAAACATTGTGAACACACTAAATGCCCCTGAATTGTATACTTTAAAGTGTACAATTTTTTAAAAATTTTAAGAATTAAATTTAAAAATTAAAGTTAAAAGATTTTTAAAATCTAGAGCATTCTAATATTTTCTATTACTCCCGCCAAACAAGTTTTCACATGTATAAACTCTGAAAGCTTATTTTTGGGTGGTTGATTTGGGTGAGGATCTTAATTTTCTGACTCATTGTGAGACCTGATCATATGTTGGGTAGGGTTGCAAAGGGTCCTGAGTGTTTCTGCACTTGGCATCAGACTGTCTTCTGCCCCCAATCTGTCTGTGCTATCTACTGGCCAAGAACCCTAAGCATTCCAGCACTACTTTAACCTCTCTTCTAGGGGACTTTTCTGATGAAGAGCTTCCTGAGGTTCAAGGTCTCTCATAGATGCCAAGCCTCCAGGCTCACCTCACTCACACTTAAGGAGAAGAGGTGCACCCCAGGCAGCAGGATTCTTACCATTGGCTTGGGGAAAGGAGCTTATAGAGCACTGAGAGCCACGTGGCCTGAGGGGATTTGAGGAGCTTAACTGCAAGTCCAGAATGATAGAATCAGAAGAAATAGCTTTTAAAATCCTCCTTAGAACTTCCCTGGCAGTCCAGTGGTTAAGAAAATGCCTGCCCAATGCAGGGGATGAGTATTCGATCCGTGGTCAGGGAACTGGGTATATCCCACATACCTCAACTAAGAGTTCAAATACTGCAACTAAAAGATTCCGCTTGTGGCAATTAAGAACTGGCACAACCAAATAAAAGAATTAAATTTAAAAAAATCCTCCTTTATTTATGGGACTTCCCTGGTGATCCAGTGGTTAAGAATCCACCTTCCAATTCTGGAGACTTGAGTTTGATCCCTGTTAGGGGAACTAAGATCCCACACATGGTGAAGCAGCTAAGCCCTTACGCCACAGCTGCTGAGCCCGCATGCTCTGGAGCCCACGAGCCACAGCTCGAGAAGCCGGCATGCTGCAACCAGAATCCAATGCAGCCAAACAAAATAAATAAACACTTTTAAAATCCTACTTTAAATTACCATGAAAAAAAAGAAAGTAAAAGCATTGATCTCTCAGTCATGTCCAACTCTTTGTGATCCCATGGGCTGTAGCCCAACAGGCTCTTCTGTACATGGGATTCTCCAGACAAGAATACTGAAGTGGATAGCCATTCCTTCTTCAAGGGGATCTTCCTGACCCAGGGATCGAACCCAGGTCTCCTGCACTGTAGGCAGATCCATATGACTCAGTAATTCCATTCCTAGGTATATACCAAAAAGAGGAAAAAGAAAGCAAGGATTCAGACAGAGAGACGTATGCGTGTTCATTGCAGCAGTATCCACAGTAGCCAAAGGTGGAAACAACCCACGTTTCCATCAACAATTGAATAGGTAAACAAACTGTGATATATCCATTTAATGGAATGCTGTTGTTATTCAGTCGCCAAGTCATGTAAGCCTCTTCGTGATCCCATGGACTGCAGCACACCAGGTTTCCCCGTCCCTCATGATCTCCTAGGGTTGGCCCAAGTTCATGTCCATTGAATCAGTGATCATTGAATCAGCCAGCCATCCATATCATCCTCTGTTGCCCTCTTCTCCTTCTGCCTTCAATCTTTGCCAGCATCAGGCTCTTTTCTAATGAGTCAGCGGTTTGAATCAGGTAGCCAAAGTATTGGAGCTTCAGCTTTAGCATCAGAGTATTCAAGATTGACTTCCTTTTAGATTGACCATTTTGATCTCCTTGCTTTCCAGGGGACTCTCAAGAGTCTTCTCCAGCACCACAGTTTGAAAGCATCAATTCTTCGGCACTCTGCCTTCTTTATTGCCCAGCTCTCACATTTGTACATGATTACTGGAAAGACCATAGCCTTGACTATACGGACCTTTGTCAGCAAAGTGATGTCTTTGCTTTTTAACACACTGTGTAGGTTTGTCATAGCTTTCCTGCCATGGAAAGTATTCCTGTAATGGAATACTCTGACAGTTCAGTTCAGTTCAGTCGCTCAGTCGTGTCCGACTCTTTGCGATCCCATGAACTGCAGCACGTCAGGCCTCCCTGTCCATCACCAACTACCGGAGTCCACCTAAACCCATGTCCATTGAGTTGATGATGCCATCCAACCATCTCATCCTCTGTCGTCCCCTTCTCCTCCTGCCCTTGATCTTTCCCAGCATCAGGGTCTTTTCAAATGAGTCAGCTGTTTGCATCAGGTGGCCAAAGTATTGGAGTTTCAGCTTTAACGTCAGTCCTACCAATGAACACCCAGGACTGATCTCCTTTAGGATGGACTGGTTGGATCTCCTTGCATTCAAGGGACTCTCAAGAGTCTTCTCCAACACCACAGTTCAAAAGCATCAATTCTTCGGTGCTCAGCTTTCTTTATAGTCCAACTCTCACATCCATACATGACCACTGGAAAAACCATAGCCTTGACTAGACAGAACTTTGTTGGCAAAGTAATGTCTCTACTTTTGAATATGCTGTCTAGGTTGGTCATAACTTTCCTTCCAAGGAATAAGCATCTTTTAATTTCATGGCTGCAGTCACCATCTGCAGTGATTTTGGAGCCCTGACCTGCCTCCTGAGAAATCTGTGTGCAGGTCAGGAAGCAACAGTTAGAACTGAACATGGAACAACAGACTGGTTCCAA